TCCCCTGGGGTGGGATGGGTGGGAGGGTGGACTAGCACGAATGGTTCCTATGTTCCTTTCTAGTCCTTCCCCACTGCAAAACTTAATGCATTGAAAATGGACTAAATTAAACTAAATTAAATTATATATATAGAAATGTGTTGAGTATCAGGGATAGTGGAATATTTTCTTGATATTCCCTGACGATGCCGTAGATCGGCGAAAGCTTGGAATGAAAAAGAAATACAATAGCTCAAGTCCTCAATCGAATCTTCAATTAAATCAACATGCTACTGAAGGAAAACTTAGAGCATTTACTAGAAATATGGTCTTCTAGTGTTTCGATCAGTTGTAGAGATACTCAGCTATATGTGGTTCTGCAAATTATTTGGGTTTTGTGGATTGCTCCCATTTCTTGATCATTACAAACATATTGAAGATGTTCAGGGTATTCTGAGTTTATTTTTACTCACAATTCAATCTCAATTTAATTTTGAAAACTGTGTTATTTTTCTTGTGTAGATTGCCGCAGCTGACAATTGGGTCTGTTACATGTGTTCAGGAAACTCTCAAGGACTCATCAGACCGCGACACAATTGGTCTGCTAAACTGCAAGAGTTCTTTATGAACGACAAAGAACAAGATTTTGTAAGAACCTCACCTTTTCTTTGTTCGCCCGTGTCTTGTGCGTCGATCAATTCGAAGCATCAACATCCCCCACCAACCCCAGGTATTTGATTGTTATCTGTGCAGGTGGGGAGAGGGAGGGATTTGAACCTTGCGTAAGTGGGGTTTGGAATTTGATGCGGAGGTGTTAAGTCTTTCCAACAGAATACATGTGTTTATCTTTTCCTTTAGAAGTGAGATAACTCAGAAGTTCTACATGGTCCGGCTAGGTTTTAAAGCTGGGCATTTGAACGTAATTTTAGGCCGGGGGGGGGGGCTGCTGTGTGAGTTATGTTTGACTGTTGTCATTTTATTTGAGAATAATATCTCGCCTTTTTCGCAGAAACAACCATACATTTTCCCTGCAGTTCCCCCTGACGAGCGCAGACCAATTCGAGTCCTGTCGCTGTTTGATGGAATAGCCTCTGGTTAGTGTTCCACATAACTTGAACTACATTTGAACAACAGTCTTAGATAGTCTCGGATGACATCACATCCTGTGATTGGTCGGGAAATCTCGCTACCCGCCCCCTCACAACCAATCAGATCGAACATTCTGATCGCGAAATGCTGAATTGCACCTTCTGACGCTGAGTGTACTTTGCTTAACCTTGTATAGTGACTCGTTAAGAGAAATTTCACTACTCTCAAATTGTACTCTAGAAAAAGTTTCATGCTAAGTGTTCCGTACAAAGTTTCTTAACGAATTTGTACAACAATCAGCTTTTCCTTCCCAACAGCTCAGACGACACTTTCATTTTATTGTTGTTGTATGGAGAAGTTACATCACATTGAAGATTGAATTGTTAAGAGCGTCAATGTGTTGGTCTGATTCGCTCCTACAGGTTTCCAAGCCTTGAAGGAACTCGGTGTTGAAATCGAAGTGTACTACGCATCTGAAATCGACGAACATGCCATGCAGGTCAGTTGGAATGGAAGTTACATGACCAGCCATTTTGCTTTATGGTACAACTTTGAGACTGAAATGCTTACATCCGCAGGATCGTATATCACTTTTTAACTGGCTGATTTTTTAAATTAATGAATCCAAGTAAACAGTAAGCGGCCAAGGAATTAGAACGTGCAACCGCGACTGGTGGGAGGGGGTGTGGGGGAGAAGTAATTTGCCTCAAAAGAGTCCAACAGTCCTTTCTGAACCAAAGTT